TGGCTCAGACTGCTTCCTAACTACAGGATGCCACCCAGATGCCTCATCTAGAAAGTGAGTGGCTGGGAACATAGCTCAAAGACAGGCAGCATGGTACCCTGGACACCCACGGTGCATATCACACTCAGGCAGTGGTCCAGCACTACGGAATGTTAGGAGACTGATTCAAGGGCTTTCTCTCTGTATTTTATAGTTTTAGAGGACACCCAAGAACTATAGCCCTAGTTAGGAAACCTTTCCCAGTCTACTGAACATTTATGAACACTAAGAGCATGGCCGTGTACCTGAGCCAGGCCCTTTGACCACTGGCAGCCTTCTGGATATGTGGTAGACTTGCCTATAAATAGTTTATAGGAAATTAGCTCTTGCTGTATCACTATATAAAATCCAAATACTATGGTCACCTTTGCATTAGAGCAATAGCATATTTTATTAAAATCAGATACTGGAAATATATTTGTGGCTGGTCTCCATTCAAATCCATATTTCTGTGAAAAATTCCACGGATTGTCATTTCCATGTTAGAAAGCAGTTAGTCTTAGTCTCCTAAACATGGAAGGAAAAGATCATCTTTGAGATTATTTTCTGACATCTTATTTTTCTTTTCTTGGGGGGAAAACGTCTCTTTCCACACGCAAAACTGTGGCTTCCATAACCCCTGTCCCCATCTCCTTTTCAGTGGTATTTGCTTCAGGAGTCCTGGGAGTTTCCATTTATTTCTTTTGGATCCACCCTAAGCAGGTAACTGTTCAGGTCAAGACAAGAATAAAAAAAAAAGTATTAACACCACTGCCTTTATTGTGAAAGTCCATCAGGCAGCCAGCACCGCTATTGAGGGCTCTTACCTGAGCAGGCTCCTGTCCTGGTGGCAAAGAGAGCTGATGACCTCCTGGCCTTAAGAATCTAGGTTAAGGGATGCCTGGGTGGCTCAGTTGGCTAAGCGTCTGACATTGGCTCAGATCACAATCTCACAGTTCGTGGGTTCAAGCCCCACGTCGGGCTCTGTGCTGACAGCTCAGAGCCTGGAGCCTGTTTCAGAGTCTGTGTCTCCCTCTCTCTCTGACCCTCCCCTGCTCATGCTGTCTTTCTCTCTATCTCAGAAAAAAATAAAAAACATTATAAAAATAATTTAAAAATAAAGTTAAAAAAAGAGTCTAGATTAAAAGGTAAGAATCTCTCTCTCTTCTTTCCAGGCACATCTATGAAATATACATAACGAATATGCGACCATGCCAACAGCACGGTGTGACTAGGGTTGGAGAAGCCATCTCATGAAACAAAGAAAGAAACTGTAGAAATAAAAAAAAAAGTTGGGGGGGGGTGCCTGGGTGGCTTAGTCGGTTAAGTGTCCGACTTTCGCTTAGGTCATGATCTCATGGTTCGTGGGTTCGAGCCCCGCGTCGGGCTCTGTGCTGACAGCCAGCTCAGAGCCTGGAGCCTATTTCAGAGTCTGTATCTCCCTCTCTCTCTGACCCTCCCCTGCTCACGCTGTCTTTCTCTCTCTCCTAGAAATAAATAAAAATAATAAAAATAATAAAAAAACAAAGAAAAGAAACTGTAGAAGGAGATTGGACCAGATCATGGTTTTCCATTTGTGGGTGGCAGGTCCCTGGGAACCCACTTTCTGTGTGGTGCCATGAGTCCATGTGCACTTGGAGGACGCTGGGTATGTAGACTGGATGGATGGACATTACATGGAAATGGCCATGAGCACGGGCTGTTTAGCAACACCGCCGAGTTTCAAATCTTAATTCTTCCACTTAGCAGCTGCGTGCTCAGACAAGTCACCGAAGTTCCTTGTGTTTCAATTTCCTCATTCTTTAACCACATGAATTTGGTGGGAGCAAAACAGATTAGACGTGTCGCCTGCTTAGCCCTGTGCCTAGTTCTCAGGGAGAGATCAGTGTTCTTACACATGCATTCACACCACAAGCGGACAGCTATTTTGCTCTTTCATCACTTCACATTCCAATTTCATACAGACCTTGCCTTGTGCTGAAGAACATGGAGAAGAAAAAGCAAATAAATTAGCCCTCCGTCTGCTTCCCAGTTTTGGAGAAGGGCACAAATGCCCACAGATCCTATGGACCAACCCTTCCATGGCTAGCATGTCCCAAGTCACAAAAGCCCCCATCAGAAGCCTTTCACTCTGGCTCCAGATGCAGAAAGACAAACCACAGCTCACCAGCCCTGTCGTTCCCACATGGCTATTGGTGTTTCTCTTCTCCACTGCTACCAAGTGAAATAAAAACAAACTAAGATTTCCAAGAACCAACAATAAGTCAGAATGTGGGATAGAGATGTTGTGTGGGAATACTCAGATTGTAAAACCTGTGAGAAGAAAGGAGATAAAGACCCAGTCTACTGATCTCAGTGTGTGCACTTGCTGATACTGAGAGGCAGGACATACAAGAAATTAACAGCACATTCCAGCCAGAGAGACTGGATGTAAAATTTTGAGGACTTCACTTTTATAGAAGGGAAAGGACTATGGAATTCCACCTGTGGATCAACCCATTATTCCAGGGGAAGTGGAGCTACTGCCTTGTCTCAGTGTCAATTTGTTCCTTTCGGTACCTGTGGTTGCACACTGTGGGGATGATTTACTCTTCCTGATGTTGCTGCTGCTGGTTTTGTTGTCAGTTTTGTTTTTGTCTCAGGGCTGGATGGACAGGGTGGTTTGGTTTGTTTTTAAAGCTTTCACGAACAGCTTTTGCTGAATCCTCAAACTCTTTGCCCTCACCACTGCCAAACACTACCTTCATTTCAACAGCAGACACCAAATCAAAAGCTTTAGGAGGTGCAGCAAATGAAAGTGATCTCTCTCACCCCGAAGCTTGTCCTCTCTCTGATAGAAGACTGTACACCTCAACGAGCCCACTTTCCCTCCCATTCAAGAAGGAAGTGTTTGGACAGCATGGGGTCTCAGGAGGAAGCTTTCAAATACACTGTGTGAATCACAGGAAAGCGTTTGTCTCTGAAGGGCAATGTCATTGTAAGATCAGTGTCCTAGGAAAAAGGAATATCCCATAAGTGCCCTGGACAAACTCTCAACAAAGTGGTAAAGTAGATCTCTCACTTTCAGGATCCTGTTATTCAAATATTGCTCTGATGGCACCATAAAAACATCATCTTCCTCACTTCTTTCTCCTCCTCCCCACCCTCACTGAAAAACTTTTTGTGTTCAAGTCTTTCCTTATCATGCTCCCTTCATCATGATTATGGAGATGAATGAGATTGCTTTATGTAAATTAACTATACCAGCTATCAAATAAAGGTAGGTGACCAATTGCCTTAGTCCAGTTAAAATTCAGAATTCTCTTAAAAACATTTTTTAACTTTATTTATTTTTGAGAGACAGAGGGAGAGAGTGAGAGGCAGAGTGTGAGCAGGGGGGAGCAGAGAAACAGGGACACACAGAATTCAAAGCAGGCTCCAGGCTCCTAGATGTCAGCACAGAGCCCAACGTGGGGCTTGAATCCACAAACTGTGAGATCATGACCTGAGCCATAGTCTGACGCTTAACCACCTGAGCCACCCAAGCAACCCTTAAAAGTCTTTAATAAATGATGGTACTAAAGAAGGGGAAGTGCTATTTATGGAGCCTCTTTTATATACCAGATGCTAGGTGATGCACTTTATGCATTTATTATCTTATTACACCTCATAATAAAGCCTTTACCTGGATGCCGTTATTGTCTCTATGTTATTGGTAAACCTTAATGACAAATACTGGGAGTATTTGAATTCAGATCTTCAAATACAAACAACTTGCCTTTTTTCAAAATAACTTGCTACTTTCTTTAAAGATCTATCACTAAACCATTGCATGGCCTAAAACAAGTCACCAATCTCTCTTTTCTGGAAATTTAAAAAAAAATTTTTTAACATTTATTCATTTTTGAGAGACAGAGAGAGACAGAGCGTGAGTGGGGGAGGTGCAGAGAGAGAGAGGGAGACATAGAATCTGAAACAAGCTGTCAGGACAGAGCCCGACGCGGGCTTGAACCCACGCACCGCAAGATCATGACCTGAGCCAAAGTTGGGTGCTTAACCAACTGAGCCACCCAGGTGCCCCATGGAAATTTCTATGTATGAATCTTTGTAGCCTCAAATTCTCTAATTCCACAAAAGCTGGAAGTTTTGGTTAGGTCCACCTGCAGAGGAACTTTATGGTTGATTCAGGAGACTTACTCCAACAGTCAGTAAGGAAGTTAACAAGGTGAGCCTAGCTAACTTCGACCTGTCCTGCCTACTTCAGAGTTTCAACAAGGACCTAATAGAATAAATACTGCATGTAAAATAAAATAAAATAAAATAAAATAAAATAAAATAAAATAAAATAAAATAAAATAAAATAAAATAAAAACACCCTGTGAATAAAAGACTACAGGTATTTGTGAAGTTATCATCTCCAGGATCATCATCAATACCAAGTCCCTCAAGAAGGAGAGTAGCTCTGGCCCAGAGCTAAAACATAGAATGATTGGTCAAAGGGGTCCCAGTGGAAGGAGAGCTGGTGTGGGCTGAAAGGAAAAAGGGAGGTCATGCCAGAAGATTAGAAACATAAAAATGGATAAAAGCTGAAAAAGAAAATAAATTCTAGAATAGACCCTGGAAGCCATGGTCTCACATCTCATCCTGTGGTGTGAGCTGCATCAAGACGCAGTGGAAGAGGAGTCTCTGAAAACAGCCCCAGTTTGGCTGCTCGGAGGGTGGATGGAAATGTATGGATTGGCAGGCTTGTGGACCAGCAGGAGATTAAGTAACAGGTGTGATCATGGCTCCAGAGAACCACAAGCAAATTTTGGCAATTTCTGGCCCAGGATGGGAGTGTGCTAAGAGGGTAAATATGAAATTGCCAAATTAGGTGCCACTCTGAATATTATCTGCAGAGAAAAAAGCAAACCCAGGCGTGGCTGATGAGGTAACCAGATATGGTACAGAAGAAATTTACTTCTCCTTTCTGGTTTCAGGTCTATATTAAGGCGTTAGGTCTCTCCAGTACAGTTGGCATCTGGGGACCAGGGAGGAGATGCCTGTTTTCCTGGGAAGCCCTGCTCTGCTGTGGACAGCACTGCTGCTCCTCTGTAAGTAGAGGCTTGGTGACCTCTCCTGGAGAGGCCAACGTGGATCTGGGGAGCGGAGGGGGTAGAAACGTTGACACTTTTCGTGACGAAGTTTCATGGGCTCTGTGCAAATCGCAGAGGATTCTCCCGGGAATCCATAGTGGACACAGCTGGGGAGCAGAGCGAACCGGGCTGAGCAACACCCACAGGTGAGCCAGCCCGAAAGCCTGTTCTTGCACTCACTCTGGCATCTCCCAGAGGGCAAGAGAGGGAGGGCAGAGGAAAGAGAGAAGTTTCTTCTCTCCCTGGGTCAGATTCCTGAGAAGATAGTTGACCCTTTAAACCTCCATGGATGTTGGGGGCACTTGGGTGGCTCAGTTGGTTAAGAGTTGGTGTCCAACTCTTGATTTCTGCTCAGGTCATGATCTCATGGTTCATGGGATCAAACCCTGTGTTGGGCTCTACACTGACAGCATGGAGCCTGCTTGGGATTCTCTCTCTCTCTCTCTCTCTCTCTCTCTCTCCCAATAAATTTTAAAAAATCGGGCACCTGGGTGGCTCAGTCAGTTAAGTATTCAACTTTAGCTCAGGTCATGATCTCACAGTTTGTGGGTTCGAGCCCCACATCAAGCTCTGTGCTGACAGCTAGCTCAGAGCCTGGAGCCTGTTTCAGACTCTGTATCTCCCTCTCTCTCTGACCCTCCCCTGCTCATGCTGTATGTGTGTGTCTCTCTCTCAGAAATAAATAAAACAATTTAAAATATGTAATTAAAAAAATTTTTTTTTTAAATGTCTGTTTTATTTATTTCTAGGAGAGAGAGAGACAGCGTGAGCAGGGGAGGGTCAGAGAGAGAGGGAGTCACAGACCGAAACAGGCTCTAGGCTCTGAGCTGGCAGTCAGCACAGAGCCCAACACGGGGCTCGAACCCACGAACCACGAGATCATGACCTAAGCGAAAGTCGGACGCTTAACCGACTAAGCCACCCAGGCTCCCCAAACATTAAAAAAAATTTAAAAACCCAAAAAAACAAAACAAAACCCTCCATGTACATAGACCTCATCACCATCCCCAGACCCCTATCCTCAGGAGTTCCAGAAGGCTGGACAGAGACACTAACTTATCCTTTCTGGACTTTTGCAGATCCAGGTGGCATGTCAGCAGGTGAGTGAGTCCTTGGTCCTTGCTCCATCAGTCTCAACATGGCTGGGCACACTCCCCACTACATTGTTTCCCTTCACGCCACCTCCTCTGCTTTCTAATGATTAGGCATCTGTCCCTTCCTGCCCAACCTGAGCCCCACTTACTCCCTGCCTGCCTGCCTTCTTTCCCCCTTCAACAACTTCTCATGTACCACCTAATTCTCTCGAGGCACCCCACCTCTTTCTATGGCAACAACCATGTCAGTGGAAGATCTAAATGTCTCACCTGCCCTGCCTTGCCCCACCCTTGCCCAGGCACTGCCACACATCTCACTCAATTCTTACGTCATCATCATGGTTAGTAGTGCCGACATTTTAGAATTGAGGGCTTTGCCTGATTAAGTGCCTTGCTGGAGGTCACGTGGCTGACCAAGGGCCAGCTTCTAACAGAAACCCCTGGGGTCCAAATCCAGTTCTGTTTCTGTACCTCATCGCCACTGGCCACTTCCTAGGGTTTGGTTAAATTTGTACCACATCTCTTTGTTCCTGAAAACCTATTAGGACTGATTCTCTCGGTGCTTCTCACTTCCTCCCAGAACTGACATGCATTTTTCACTCCATATCCACTCACAGTTAAATAGTCATAAAAATTTAGAGCTGGGAGAGACTATGTTTCATCTAGTCTAACACATTTATTCATCCATTATTCACACGTTCATCCACTCAGTAAATATTTAATGAATACGTCCTATGTCCCAGCCATTGTGCTGAGCTAGGGCTGAACAGGACAGACATTGTCTCTGCCTGATCAGAGGCTCTAGTCCTCACTGACAGATACTGGTATTGAAATCAGGAGGACCGAAGTGGTTATCCTCTGTCACACAGTAAGTGAGTTCACTTGTTTGTTTTCTAACATGTCACATTTGTGTTCCACCTTTCCCCTGAGTTTAGGACTCCCTGGGGCCACAGCACTGTTTCCTCATTCTTGTAATCCTAGGAATCAAGACAGTTTCTTATTGGTGGCAGTACAAGGGTAGACTGACCACTAACTGTCTGACTATTGCCATCTGTATTTTGGAACCCTTTGCACCTCCTCTATATCTCTTTCCACAATTTGTCTCCTCAAAGACATCCGGCAATCTACAGTGTCCTTGAATCCACCATGGACTACCATATTGGAAGTTGACAATGTGACTCTTACATGTAAAGTAAACAATTCCCTTGAACTCAGCTCTACTGTGTGGTTCCATAACAAGACCCTTTTGGGAGTGACAACTTCACATCTGGACATTGTGAAAGCCCAAGCCCAGGATAGTGGGGAGTACCGGTGTCGGAACAAAGGATCCATCCTGAGTAAACCTGTGTACCTAAAAGTCCTCCGTGGTAAGTTCCAGGGCTATGGAAAAATAGATTCCTCCATGTGAGGAAGGGCCCATGTGAGGATGGGGAGAGATCAAGTTATTCCAGGGCTTGGCACACTGGGGCATGACTCAGGGTCTCTCACTCAAGACCTGCCTGTGTCCTTCCACTGCTACCCCTGCATGGCCCTGTGTCCTTTCCATGTTCTGGCCATCTCCCGTCTCCCAGTGGTATCCTTCCAGTCCACCTCACCTCTCTTTTTCTGCTTGGGGGAGATGTACATGATATGGTCACATGGCCTGTTGGATCTGTGAACACTGCAAAGAGCTGAACATCTGAAATAGGATCAAAAGGTCCAGTTTGCTCAACAATTTCCATGAGCCATGACCTGGATATTAGGTTGCATTCTTAGTTCTGAAAGACATCCAGGTAGACCCCTCACAACTTCCATGTCTACTAATGGACAAATGTTATGTTTGCTTAAATTTCGTGACTGTTGCCGCCAACCATTAGCACAGCACATTAGTTCAGTCACATGTGGGTTAGTTAGTAAATGCTGGATGAACAAAGAAATGATTTCATTTAAATGGCTAGGTCATGGATATATTTTGCTTTATCTTTTTAATACAAATATATTTTAAAGGCTAAACATACTTTATATTTTTTGAGTGACTGGAGGTGTGGCAACATCCATATGCAAATTCCAAATACAAATGAAAGCAGGAGGGAATAGCTTCTTTATTTCCTTGGAGTAGATTCTAGAAAATCCTCAAGAATCGCTTCTAAATCAACTGTGCCCTGCACGCCTAGCCAGAGTTTTGTTCCAAATTCTCCTTCGTTGAATGCTCTTCAATTCTTACAATGACATTAGCCATAGGACCCAACTCTTAGACTTTACAGACTCATTGTTAACAAGCATTCTTTGAGTACCTACAGGCTCTGAATTAATCTTGTTAGGCACTGGGGATCTAATGTAAGGATCAGACATGGTCCCTGGCCTCCTGAAGTATGAAACCAAATGAGGAAGAGGACATTAAGTGAGTAACTACATACATAATTAGAATTAGCATATATGTACTGGGGAACTTTGGGAACCAACTACGATTAACAGTAGAACTAAGGAGTCCCTAAAAAGCAAGAGGACAAAACAGATCTGCCCCCTAGGTGAGGACTCCCTGGACAGAATTGTCTTATTCTCCCTTAGTGGCCAGAGCTTGCATCAACAGAGCTGAAGGGAATACTGGCTTTCAAGCCTTCCATGGATGGGCTCAGCAGAAATGTCAGAGTGGTTTTATAGCCCCAGACTTGCCTTTCAGGAGGAGAGATGTATCCATATAGAGGACAGACTCTAAGCATGATTTTGTTTTTCCTTTTAATTGCTCTTATGAGCCAAGAAATGGATTAATGATAAACTGTGGATCCTGACACATGGCCACTCTTATTTTTTCTGTCTTTCTGTGTCTATCTATCCATTTGCTGTTAAATAACATAATGACTGCTCTTCAGAGTGGCTGCTCCTCCAGGTCTCTCCTGAGGTGGTGATGGAGGGTGAGTCCTTCCTCATCAGGTGCCATGGTTGGAAGAATCGGGATGTCAGAAAAGTGACCTACTACAGGAATGGCAAAGCCCTCAAGTACTGGTACGAAAACCACAACATCTCCTTTAACAATGCCACAGTAAGAGACAGTGGTACCTATTACTGCACAGGCTTGATTTGGAAAATAAATCACACCTCTAACTTCCTGAACATTGCTGTGACAAAAGGTGAGTTGGTAAAGAAGGAAGGGAGGCCACCACAGGGGAGGGGAGAGAGAGGACACCGGAGCCTGAAATGGCTGCGGCGTGCAGAATGGGACAGCTGGGGCACTTTGTCAAGCCCACAGGCCTGCAGGGAGGAGCACGGGGTGGGGGGGACGGCACATCTCTCAGTCTCTGTTGGAGTCCTTATTTGTTTGCTGGTGATAGTAATACCTGCTCACATGGTGGAATTTGTATGAACACTAAATGCGGTGATATTTGTGAAACGTATGTGCAGCCTGTGAAGCACTACACAAGCATAAAGGATCATAGTCATCGGTCCAATCCCAGAGTCCTCTGTTGCTCCTCGGGAGAACACTTCTAGTTGTCAAATTGAAAGAGAGCCTCCGTGTTGGAGGAATGAAGGTGGTGAGGAGCTTGGAGACACCATACTCGGGGAGGAGGGCAGGGGACGGAGACCCACACACCAGTGGGTGGTGTGACCAGGTGGTGAGGAGACAGAGCCTCAAGAGGAGACCTGGGCAGGCGTGCTGCCTCGGGGGCCAGATATGAAGATGCTCTTTCCAAACTCCAAGAAGAGAGAGAGTCTTTGGAATGCCTGCCTTGCAAGGAGGAAATTAGACTTTTTGCTTGGCAGACTTGGTTCATATTAATGTCTAAAACAGCAGGAGACTATAAGCCAGAATTAAGCTTTAATGTCAATATTCTGTTAACTAGCCTGAGACCTAAATGCTATTTAATTGTCATTGGCCTTCTGGTATCTTTATCTGTGAAATAAAGGGCTTGGTCTAGATGCCCCTTGAGGAATGTTAAAAATACTGATGTTTGCATCTTACCTCTTGAGATTCTGATTTCACTGGTTTGGAGGACTGAGCATCAGTATTTTTAAAAGCCCTTTCAGGTAATGGTCATGGGCAGCCAGTGTTGAGAGCCATGGAGTCTAGGTGATCTCTACGGGATTTGTGGCTGTAACATTCTGGAGCTCTGTAATTCTACAATAATCACAAAAATCGGTGTCTTGTAAACAAAATAATAGAATCACAAGAGAAGGGGATTGTAGGGCAGCTTAAAGAGGCTCTGGCCCAGTGACTTCATGTCACCCAACAGGCATGCAGTAAATGATGAATGATTCAGAAATGAGGCACTGGTGAACGCCCATCACCCTCGCTGTCTCCTTTCCAGCCTCAAATCATATGTGAGATCCAAGAAGGAGATCACCTTTCCTATGACCTTCCCCACTGGGCACACTGGCCAGAGGACCTATAGCCTGGGCCTTGGGGGAAGGTCTCAGGAGTCCTGCACCTCCCAAATCCCTGAGCATTGCCCTCAGGTCCTGGACAGCATATCATGTTAGTGCTAGAAGACAGAAGACCATGCTAGGTTCTTCTTTTAGGGAGGATGAAGCCCTGAGCCCCATTCTTCAATTCCTCATATGGCTTATGTTTCCTGTTGCATCCAGATTTCCCCACAGAACTTGAAAGCAAATACTACTGGCTACAATTTGTGATCCCATTGTTGGTGGTGATTCTGTTTGCTGTGGACACAGGGCTGTTTATCTTGACCCAGCAGCAGTTGAAACTGCTCTTGAAGATGAAAAGGACCAGGAAGGGCAAGAACCTTATGGACCCACGTCGCAAGCCAGACCCTAAAATCAACTGATATTGCTGCTCAAGACACATTTGCAACAGCAACTTCTTTCTAGCATTAGTAATCACTTCTCCACGGTCAAACACAGCTCACAGTGCACACGGGAGTGTCCGTAAACAAGGCTTTACAGAACTGCTTCATTACACCAACTGAAACTGGTTGAGTGGCATGTAATAGCAACTGCTCAGTAAACATCAGTTAAACAAATGAAAGAATGAATGCATTCATTTATTAGCATCTGTAAGATCTCCAATTTGAATAAAAGGGGTATGGAACCAGGTAACATGATGCATCTAAGTATTTGATGCTTGCTAGTTTCTTTTTTTGTTGTTGTTGTTTTTTTGTTTGTTTGTTTTGTTTTTGTTTTTGTTTCTAGAGGCAAGAACCATAAGGTTCTAGGTTAAGAATGTTTTCTCTTAACTATTGTAAATCTGAACCCGGCTGATGAAGACATGGCAGTATGCTGGTGAGATCGCTCATTGTTATGCTCCCACTTCAACTTACCATTTATGAGCTTCTAGCTCATGCTGAAGCTGGGGCAGTCTTGAGCCTTAGGACCCCAGGGATGAGACTCAGTCTAAGATTTCCCTGTGATTGTTTCTCTCTCTAATATCTCCCAAATCTGTGCTTGAAACTCCTCTCAGAGCACCTGAACTAAACATGTTGGAGAAATTCCAGCACATAAGAATCACCAGAACCCTCAGCTCTGCAAACAGCCCAGGGCTGAGAAAGATCTCAGGCAAAGACCCAATTTTTGCTCTCCCACCCCCACACCACCCTTGCCCATGGGCACACTTATCCTGGATGCCCGGAGGGGGTTAGGGAAGAGAGGCAACCTATTGTTGGCACTGACCATGAGCTCACAACAGTCAACAAGAGATCAGAGCACCTATAACTTCACATATTTTAGAACAATTACTAACATAAGGAGGAAGTAAATCTGGCGGGGGTGGTGGGTGGTTCATAAATTCCCATGAGACTGACAAGTCCCATTTTCTCCAAAAGATGTTTTTGGACCACAAAGCAGAGGGAACTATTGGTGGGTTTTGTTTGCTTGTTTGTTTTGTTTTTAAATATAGGTATCTGGGATGAACCTCCTTGACCCTCTACTTTTTTTACCCAAATCATTTCAGAGACGGAAGAAATGACTAGATTCCCAGTGAACAGCCTAGTCCTTTGGCTTCATATAAACAGGCTTTATGAGTTTCCTGAAACAGAAAAAGGAGAAACAGGAAAAGTCCCCACAGGAGGATCCTTGGCATTGTCCCAGATACTTTCTCTGCCTTTAAGGAAAGACAGAAGATCCACTTTAGGTTATAGCCTTGAGACCATGGTCTTGCCACCACCATCACTAACAACATCTTGCTTCACAGTGTCCTATACACAGCATCATACCCATCAGACGAGAGATTGAGTGACTTAACTCCTTTGAGGATCTGAGGCCAGATGACCCAGAGTTAAGAACTGAGGGATATTTAACATGGATAGAAAGTCCAGGCTTGGTCAGCTCACGACACACCTTCTGAGGGTTTTTCTAAATTCTGGTGTATCACAAGTCACCTTCACCTCCGCTTTATCCCCACCCAAGCCCCCAAGCTTGCAAGAGCTCTGCTGAGAGAACACACCTGGACGTTCAAGCCGTCATGAGCTAGCTGTGTGACTGGAACAAGCCACCTCCCCATCTCTGAGATCCCATTCCTTCTTTGTAAAAAGAGGGGGTTTGGACTAGGTGGCCTCTAAGCTCCCTTGACCCCAGATGTTCTGTCCTCTGTCACTTGGAAGCCTACTTCCCATGTGGTAACTACACAGGCTCAAAGGCTCAGAACACATCCCCAAGAAGCTCTTAATGGGCATTTTTTTCTTCATCTTCCACACATTGTCTTCACTGTTCTCTTCCACGGATGTGAATTTCAGGTTTGTCTGAGACATATCTCTACCATTCATTTCTTCCTATTTCCTTCTTCTTCATACATCTCTTGTTCCATAAGAAATGTGGAACAGAGTTAGGGCTCTGTTTAGTGGAGCTCCAAAATATGGCATTTAAAAGAGTGTTTTCGGGGTGCCTGGGTGGCTCAGTCGGTTAAGCGTCCAATATCAGCCCAGGTCAGGATCTCACGGTTTGTGAGTTCGAGCCCTGCATCGTGCTCTGTGCTGACAGCTCAGAACCTGGAGCCTGCTTCAGATTCTGTGTGTGTGTCTTTCTCTCTCTTTGCCCCTCCTCGGCTCATGCTTTGTCTCCCTCTCAAAAATAAATAAAAACATTTTAAAAAATAAAAATAAAAGAATGTTTTTATTTTTATATACATAAAATACTCTGTCTATGCCAGAGAGGGAGCATGTATATTTTAGGGACAATTGAAATGGAAATAATCCACCCCCACATCACTCTTAGGGTCTCCTCTGCTACCTCCAGCCTCTTACCAAATTGGACTAAGCCAGCTCATAGAGTAAATTTTCTTCCCCATAGTTGCCCTTCCAAATTGGGGCCACAAATCATCATGAGTTCCCAATAGTTAGAGATTGGTTCTTGGAAGATCAAGTCAGTTAGCTTCCCTCTGGTGGCCAGTGAAAGACAAATTCTCTTGGTCACCTTAAGCATGGGAACTCAGACAAAACATTCACCTCATTAGTGTGTTGGGGAATTGAGCACTTGAAGAGAGAGTCTGCTCTGTCTCTCTACTCATGAAATGGGAAATAGGACAACAGGACCACCTCGTTGAACCCAGCAATGGGAACTTTATGTCCAGAAGGCCAGAGGCACCTGCCAGTCTGGGTCCCTAGATAACCTCAGAGAGGAGTGCTGCCTTCCTGTGTCAAGCTGTTAGCTCTGCTCTGGACAGTTACTTATGAAGCCCAAGTCCCATCTGCTGCTTCACCAATCTTCATGACATTTCCACCCCAAACCTTTCACCTAAAAATGTGCACAGAGTCACTGGCTAGTTGACTTGTCCATATCAGTTATAGCATCCACACTCTTTCCTTTCCTGAAAACTGAGATGACATATCCTCACATTTAGCCTTTCCTGTATTTGAAATTTAAAAAATATCACTGAGAGTGGTCAGCAATCTCACTGCAAGGTAATTGAAAGGAGATTCAAGGCTGCCAGGCAACTGAAAATTGCTCACAGAAAAAATTCTGAAGATAAAGGAATAACTTCTTGTGGATTCTGAGAAAAGTTCATTTTAACTTTTTTTTTGCCAGTTTCCAAGAGGATAATACTGCACTACAACCAATCAAATTGAGCCACAAGTAAAGATAGTTCAATTAATGGGGGGAAATGATTGTTTAATTAAAATATATAAGCCACTAGCCTTCTGCCTTCACTAGAATGTATCAAGCCTAAAAATCTGGGTTCTCTGTTTCCCAAGGACTGTTCTAGAAATGGGATGCTGAACTGTTGCAGATTAGGATCCTCAGAAAACAGATTCTCAGGGACACACCTGGGTGGCTCAGTCAGTTGAGCGTCTGACTTCGGCTCAGGTCATGATCTCACAGCTCGTGAGTTCGAGCCCTGCATCGGGCTCTGTGCTGACAGCTCGAAGCCTGAAGCCTGCTTTGGATTCTCAATCTCTCTCTCTCTCTCTCTCTCTCTCTGTCCCTCTCCTGTTCATGCTATCTCAAATGTAAATAAACATTATTTTAAAAAATAGAAAAAGAAAAGAAAACAGATGCTGAAACTGATTGAAATGTAACACGTTTCTCAGAGAGTGCCCTGGGCATCAACACCCGTGTGAGAGTGACGGGAGCAGACCCTGGCAGAGGGAGAGGATGAAATGTGATATAGTCACAGAAAACGTCAAACCAGCTCCCTCATAAGAGTCTTGGAGCTGGGAAGAGCCTTTTTTAATCATCTTAGATGGAGGGAGAGGGGCCATTCTTTACACCCGGAAGTAGACCTGTCTTTGCAGCCAGTGTGCCCTGGCAGAAGGTGTGAAACTCTTCTTGGTGAAGAGAGAGTAGGTCTTCACCAAGAGCAATTTCCGAAGAGCCACTCAACTGACCACTATTGCCTCAGACCCTCCCAGCAGCTGAGGGAACGGAGGTGTGTGTCCCAAAGTTAAGTAATCCAGGTAGGCTAGCGTGGCATCCGTGAGTACAACTGTGGTAGAAGAGAGCGAGACCCCAGCCATCAGACCTCTACCTAACAGTTTTTTTTTTTTTATCTGGATTAAGCAGAATGACTAAGCCAAACATTCTGAAAATGATTTTGACTATCCTCATAACAAGGTGCTGGTGCTATCATTTCTACAAATTCAGACCTGAAGGCAAAGGTATCTTTGATCTTCAGGCTGACTCTATGTACTAGTGTTTTTTGAAAAGTCAGACATGTTAACTTGACTTGGAGAACTTACTCATTTCCATTGCCTTGTCCCATCCTTCATAACCAGCAGACTCTGTGACACTCTCATAAGTGATATTTTGCCCATGTAGGGTCACCCTGTGGGGCCAGCTGGATTCTGAGCATTGCAGGAGTGGTGTCTGGAAGTCAGGGTATCTCATTCCCCAGCATGGAATGCCAGCGTTCACAGAAGGATGAGGGAGAAAGGACCTGCCTTGCACCAGAGTGCACGTGCTTACCTTCTGTGATGCTCAGACAGGAATGCTGGCTTTAAGTCTGGTTTTAAGTTGGGAGGATCTAAGAAGAAACTTCTCAAGATTAACCTCTGCAAGTTTAGGAGCTTAGCGGAAATTTTTAAAAAATGTTTTAATGTTTATTTATTGTTGAAGAAGAGAGAGACAGAGTGCTAGTGGGGGAGGGGCAGAGAGAGAGGCAGACATAGAATCCGAAGCAGACTCCAGGCTTTGAGGTTTCAGCATACAGCCCAATGCAGGGCTCGAACTTAGGAGTCGTGAGATCATGACCTGAGCCAAGTCAGGCTCTTAACCGACTAAGCCACCCCAGCACCCTTCTTGATCCCATATTTAATGGCATTTTTGAAACAGCATTAAAATTAATACATATTTACAAAATCAAATAAAAGCCTTTCACCAATCTATCCTGGTTAAGAGGAAAGGGGCTTCTGCCCCACGGCTCTGCACAGGGCATCTTTGACCTCCTTGTTCCTCAGGCTGTACATGACAGGGTTCAGCAGGGGAGTGAGGATGGTGTAGGTCACAGAAATGAGTCTGTCCTGCCCCAGGGAACTCTGGGATTTGGGCTTGAGGTAAATGATGGAGGCACAGCCGTAGTGAACGATGACCACCGTGAGGTGGGAGGCGCATGTGGCAAAGGCCTTCTTCCGGCCCTGGGCGGAGGGGATCTTGAGGATGGTGGCGATGATGAGGATGTAGGAGATGAAGACCAGGCCCATGGGTAGAACCAGGACACAGACACTGACAACAAAGTTGATGATCTCATTGACAGTGGTATCTGCACAGGCCAGCTTCAGCAGGGGCCTCACATCACAGAAGAAGTGAGAGATGACAAAGGCATCACAGAATGGCAGGCCAAACACAGACGTTACCTGGACAATGGCCATGCCCAGGCCAATTCCCAGGGATCCGCTTGCTAACTGGACACAGGCCTCTTTACTCATGATGACTGAATATCGCAAGGGGTTGCAGATGGCTACGTAGCGGTCATACCCCATAGCTGTGAGCAGGAAGCAGTTGTTGATGCCAAAGGTGAGATAGAAGAAGAGCTGAGTGGCACAGGCTTGGGCAGTGATGGGCTGGTGGGGACTCAGGAGGCCCCAAAGCATCCGGGGGATGATGGCCACAGTGTAGCAGGTCTCAGAGAGGGACAGCATGCTCAGGAAAAAGTACATGGGGGTGTGGAGGTGACGGTCCAGATGAATAACAGTCATGATGATGACATTGCTGGACAGAGTCAACAGGTGCAAACTCAGAAAGATGGCAAAGAAGACCAGCCTGTGCAGCCACCCAAAGCTGGAGAACCCTTCAAAGAGGAATTCAGTCACAGTGGTAGAGTTTGACATTGGCTCTGAGGGAGATCTGGGTCTGGGCAAAGGACAGGTGTGATAAGCCCATTGTACAAGACATAAGGGTAACCCAAAGCCTTCAGTAAAGAGCGTGTACATTGTCTGAGCAAATGCTCCAGACCTCATTGGTCATCAGTGTTGGCTGCTGTCATTACATCTACCCACCCTCTTCTTGGGCTCTACTCCAGGATCCCAAGACTGACAGCAGAGACAGATCCCAGAGGAAAGGTGGCAACCAAGTACAGGGATCCATAGAGATCCATAGAAATAATTACCCAGACATAGAAGAGGCGAGTCCGGGTCAGGGAAGAGGTTTGTCCTCAAACACTCTTGAATTTGCCGGGATGGATCTAGTGAGGATAGTAACTGAGGTAAAAGACAGAACACATCTGAAGCTGATACCCTTGCAACACCTGCCGGAAGGCACTGGCACTGCCAAATGCCCCTGGAAGTCCTCAGCTTCACTTCACTAAGCCCAGCACCTAAAATCCCCAGTGATCATGAAAGACTAGAAAAGGGAGCATTTCAACAAGCTTGCCCTCCTGAAATCCCTGCACCAAGTGACCTCTCAAGCCATGGAGAAGGTTGGTAGGGTGCTGCAGGTATGCGGTTTATCTCCTTAAATTCAACCAGAAAATAAGATGGAAACAATCCGAGGATATCCTTTCCAGAAGGGAATGGGTTTTCCTAGTGTGAGAGCAGAGATAAATTCATCTAATTGGAGAAGGGCCAGATATTCTATTCTGTTTTCTTCAACTGTGTATATTCCAAGTTGAAACAGTGATAGAAATGGGCTCATCTCATGGGAGCTGAGAACTGCAGACTTGGACAGCGGCAGATTTAGTCTTGCCCTTTAAACCCATATCTACTTCTCATAGACCCCACCATGGTTAACCATGACCTCCATTCAGAAAATGGAACACCATCCTTTTCTACGTGGAAAACATAGAAATTCTGTATTCTCTGTCCCCTCTTCCCTATGTTTTCCACCAACATCCACCTTGTGAGCACAAACAACGGTCATTCTCTGCAGAGATGCAATGGTCTCCCGACCAAGGTCCCTCATTGAATTGACCTTAGTCAAGTCCAAGCCAGCCTCCTGAATGGAAGAAATCTGCTGATGGTATTTACCCAAAGAATATGAAAACACTACCTCAAAATGATTTATGCAACCCTAGGTTTATTGCAGCATTATTTAAAATAGCCACATTATTAAAAAAAAAAAAAAAAAAGGCGGGGCACCTGGGTGGCTCAGTTGGTTAGGCGTCCGACTTCGGCTCAGGTCATGATCTCACAGGTCATGGGTTCAAGCCCCACGTGGGGCTCTGTGCTGATAGTTCAGAGCCTAGAACTTGTTTCAGATTCTGTATCTCCCTCTCTCTGACCCTCCCCTGCTCATCCTTGTCTCTCTCTCAGAAATAAATAAAACATTTTAAAAAGTTAAAATAAAATAGCCACATTATGTGAGCAGCTCCAGTGTCCATCAATAGATGAATGGGTAAAGAAGATGTGGTGTATATATACACAATGGACTATTACTCAGTCCTCAAAAAGAATGAAATCTTGCCACCTGCAGCAACATGGATGGATCTAGAGGGTTCAGTGCTAAGCGAAATAAGCCAGTCAGAGAAAGACAAATACCATATGATCTCACTTATATGTGGAATTTAAGAAACAAACCAAAACATCCCATTCTCTTAACTATAGAGAACCCACTGCTGGTCGCCAGAGGGGCGGTGGGGGATGGGAGAGAGAGGTGGAGGGGATGAAGAGCCTACTTACTGTGAGAGCACAGAGTAATGTATGCAACTGTTGAATCATTAGGTTGCACACTTGAAACTAATATAATACTGTATGTTAACTATACCGGAAGTAAAATAAAAATTTGGGGGTGCCTGGGTGGCTCAGTCGGTGAAGCGTCCGACTTCAGCTCAAGTCATGATTTCATGGTTCGTGGGTTTGAGCCCCAAGTTGGGCTCTGTGCTGACAGCTCAGAGCCTGGAGCCTGTTTCGGATTCTGTGTCTCCTTCTCTCTCTGCCCCTCCCTTGCTCATGCTCTTTCTCTAAAACGATAAACATTAAAAAGAATTCTTTAATCTGCTTCAGCCCAGCGTTCAAGGATTTGTAAACAAGTCTGTGATTATCCAGACTTGATTTTTATACATTTTATCACTTCCCTTCCAATTGTTCATATAAACTTCATCACGCGCTTTTAAAGTCTTCCTTGCGGTACACAGACCAGATCAATGTGGTCCTACATGTACTAACCCAATAGAGTGTGGATCCAGTAGAGCAAGATTTTTAGTTTTGCTTTGAATCCCCTTCCTGGAAATGTCCAACATTTTCTTTCTCCCTTAGACCCATCCAGCTTATGCAGCTAGGAATAGTCTGTAGTAACATACAGATTGCGTTCTTGGGTTTTGATGGATAGTTCGGAACCCATCACTCGAAAACCACAGATCTTATTGTATTTGCACACTTACATTGAAATTCATCCAGGTTATTCTTATAACTTCATTCCACTTTCCTGGCAAAAGATTTTACTCATGCCCATAGCCTAGAATATTTGCTTTCTTCCTCCTCCAGACCATTAGTCAGCTCTAAATTATATCACCTGAAACAACTCTACCCCAGTACCATTGTGGTGATAGGCTCTACCAAAACCACCAGGAAAGGGGCACGTGGTGGGATGGCGAGATGAGAAACATTGCCAAGAAGAGTGCTACTCATCTAGGGTGTAGGAAATAGAGGTGAGGAAGGAGAGAGAGAGAGAGAAATGTAGGGAGGGTACAGATGGAAAGAAACCTCCAAACTCAGACCATAGTGGACTTTGGAGTTAATACTTTTTCTTTCTCTCAAATAAACGCCAACAACAAAAAAAGGGAACTGAAGCTTCTCCCTGACCCAATCTTACAGTTTTTCTCCAGGTAAGAGAACTTATTTACCTCATTGTTCTCAGATTTTTTTTAAGTCTCCTGTAAATAACAAAATTTTGTTTTGAATCCAAGCAAAACCATTTCTTCAGGAGCTCCATGTGCCGAGTACGTCACAGAGTAAGCACCGTGCTAGTATCAGGAACACAAAGATAACCAGGCAAGGGTCCGTGCCCTCGCAGAGCTTAGATTTCTGGACAGCCTTTTGTCTTAGACCCAAATAAAGACCCCTCGAGTCTTGTGTCCCTCCTCCCCACATTAGTTCACACATACACATTTCCAAAATGATAAAAAGCCCAAGTTCTCCATGAGAGATTATGGTCCTACTTCTATAGATCATCGCTGGCTCTGTGATGACTGACTATCACGCTGCAATCAACATGCACTGTCCCGGCATATGAGGAAGTGAAACTCACCAGCAGCCTGTTTCTCTGGTCTTCTGAGAGTCACATCCCCCAACTTGGGAAACGGGACTGCCTGCAACAAAACGTATGGATTTGGACTCATGGTTACAAAGCATTTCCCAGATTTTTGTCAATGCCCTTCCTGAGATTATTTAAAATCCATCAGTTACTCAAGTCTGAGTCACTTTGTAAAACTAATGCCATCTTACCAAAATTCTCCGTATTTTCTTATCTGATGATCACTAACGTCTTATTGAGCAGAGCTGTGGTTTCATAGGAACTCCCCCCTTTACTGGCTACTCTCGAGATACTGACCAGAAGGGGATACTGAAAAGAAACTAGAAAGGAAGGGAAGGATACACAGTCTTCTAGTGCCTGAGCCTACAAGTGATGGACAGGAAAAGTCCTTTGGATTCCCACAGCTTCCTCAGACAGAACTCTTCTTTGGGTCACAAAGCAGTAGTAACTCTGGCTTGAGGTTTCTTAATAAGGTGCAGATTTCCTGTCCAGACTCATGGGTCTCTCTCCCCAAAACAGCACCGACTACTCCCAAGTGACCAGGAGCAGAGGACACAACTCAAACAGCAGTGCGTCCAGGGACCTCATTACTCAGGAGGCTCATTGCCTCATCCTGGGACTAACATTTTGAAAGGTAGAGCTGGCTTGGCAATTAGGAGGAATCTCTGGGGGGCAGGGTGGGGGGATAAGGCTGATTTCAGAACTTGTTAGGTTGGATCATTGTCCCACTAAGGTACTTGTCATACGTTTTGTCCATTTCTCTGGTGCCAAAGCTGAGGAGATTAAGACCTTATGCAAAGGATGCTTCACACGGGGAGGAAGGGAAACAACAATTCCCAAGTAGGATTTAAGCATGGACCCTGCAGCCATGTCCACAGAGGGCTGACTTTCAGATACATTGCACCTGAAGCTGGTTTAAAGTACTAGGTACAATCATCAATCCATGCCCTGAATTCTCTTGTAAAATCACCTTTACGTTTTTATTTAAATTCCAGCAGAGTTAACACTCAGTGTAATAATTAGTTTCAGGTGTACAATATGGTGACTCGACACTTCCATCCACCACCTGGTGATCATCATATGGGCACTATTTTTTTTTTCTTTTTACAAACAGTTTATTGTCAAATTAGTTTCTACATAACACTCAGTGCTCATCCCCAAAGTGCCCTCCTCCATGCCCATCCCCCCCTCCCCCCCCCCCGCACCCAACAGTCCTCAGTTTTTGTCAGCATTCAAGAGTCTCTCATGGTTTGCCTCTCTCCCTTTCCCCCACCATTTCCGCCCTTCTTCTCCCCCTTGTTCCTCCGTCAAGTTCCTCCTAATCCTCCTATACGTGCAAACATATGATATTTGTCCTTCTCTGCCTGACTAATTTCGCTCAGCATAACCCCCTCAAGGTCCATCCATGTTGCTACACATGGCCAGATTTCATTGTTTCTCATTGCCATGTAGTATTCCATGGTATAGATAAACCACATCTTCTTGATCCATTCATCTGTTGATGGACACTTAGGCTCTTTCCATGTTTTAGCTATTGTGGAGAGTGCTGCTATGAACTCTCCACAGAGACTTCTCCAAAGAGGACATCCAGATGGCCAACAGACACATGAAACGATGCTCAGCATCCCTCCTCATCAGGGAAATACA